AAATTACAATGGACATTTTTTTAAATACCATAGGGAAACTATTGTGAATTTTTATTTAATTTTGAACTATTATAAACTATTGAAAATTATTGTGAACTATTATGAATTTATATTTAATTTTAAATTATTATGAATTATTTAATTTCGGACACATTTTTTGACTATCATATTACTATTAATTGTGAACATATATTTATTGAAATTTAATTTTTTGAACCACTAAAAATAAAATATTTTATGGTACCAATATTCCGCCTATTTCATTTCTTTTGTTCAAAACACAATAACCGTACCAATTTTCCGTTTACCACCGTGTACACCACATTTTTTAAATAGGCAATTCCAATTATTCTGCAGCGTTATTCTAAATTATCTATCTATTTTCTAGATACCTATACCTATTTCAGTGGGTATAAGCCTCCACTATACTACCAATATGTATCAACAATATGTTTTTTTTTTTGTACTAATATTGTACTTTTTAAAATTATATTTACTTTTATTTTATTATATTAACTATTTATATTATATGGATGTAACGAATTAAAGATTGTATAATTTTAAATTAGTAATTTAGTTTAATTTTCCTAAATATAGCTAATTTTAAAAGTCTACCCGAGCGTAGTTTGTCACCTTTTTACTTTTGATGAAAAATCTGGTGCAGTATATATGTATGATTTTAGGTTTATCTGTACTTTGGGCACAGTTTACTATCGCCAATTTGTCAGTCAATAACATACTTATTGTTGTACAATAATATTATATTAATAGTTAAATATTATATTGTTACGACTTTTAGGGACAAGAAACGCACTTAATAGTATACAACATAAAGCGTGAAACAATAACATAAATAATAATAACAATAACAAATAACAATCATATAATGTGTTATGGCTGTACTTACGGCAACGTTGGCAGTATAATAATTTATAATGATTATCGAATTACGTATATCATCGCATGACTACAGAATGAGCTTCATCGTATGGATAATTCATCTTTGTCTAAAACAAATAAAATTGCATTACATTACATGTTATTTTATTATACAAAACAATACAAACATATAGGGGTAGTATTATACAAATATTACGAGAATGGTCAACGGTATATAATCAAAGTTTTTTGAGAATTATTTGGTGTGTATATCGGTTAAAAAATATGCATAGTAGAATTTATAAAATGTATAGGTTTGTTTCATATTTTTATCGTTTAATATCGTCCAATATTTAAATTATTTTTGTTTATAAGTATATAGAAAAATTTAATTTATCACCAACAAAAGTAATTACATGACGTATTATTTGTAATATTTGCATTTTTGGAACATAATATATTAAATGATCTGTAAGCATTTATCGAAAGTTCTAACTCATTGATTATTATTATTATTAATTCACAAAAAACAACCTGTTATTAATTTTTACAGTGTCCTGAAAAAAGCGACAATGATTTACTTTTTATAATTAATAATATTGTGTATTTTGTAATAAAATTTTAGTGCAACTAAGAATAAATTATGTTATACGTTTAAATATAATATTATTTAATGACATTTAAGAATTAACAAACATAATATTATATAGAAATTCATATAAGCGCACGATTAATATTAAATTTTTTTAGTCAGTTATATTTTTTGTCAAATAACTGCAGAATTTCAAATACAATGTTTAAAAGTGCAATAACATTTTTAAAAACGCGTGTTCAAACGATGTATCAAATTTGAAATTTCCAATAAATTTTACAAATTGTGCGCAAACGGTTGTCAACCAAATGATTTACAGCTGCTCGCGGCTTTATATTATTATGGCGTTACACCTATATAGGGTATAGGGTACATGGACAAAAGAATAGCATCAATTTTTCTCGTCATTTATCTACCTGCGCTAGTAGAAGCATCGATCATTTGTCGGCCATGTATAAGTACATTTATTATGTAATATATGGGTTAAATTTTTTTTAACTCTCTCATACCCCCACCACCAGTAACCCTCTCAAAATCAACGCCATAAGAAAAGGAGTACATGGTGAACTTTATACCTACCTCCATCTGAAATTATACAATATTACCCTTCATGTAACGCAAACGCACGCGCAAAAACCAAAATGTGCATTACAATTTTAGCGAAATGTTTTCGTAATTAATACAAATTATTATATTACATACATTGCACGTTGTGTCAACACACGTGTCACATGAAAAAAAAAAAAATAATAATCATAACAGAACGCGTTGTACCATGTCGTCAACGTTAACGAAGAATGTAGAAGAAGACAACGACAACGACAACTGTAATAATATTGTAAAAGCAAAATAAAATTTTTAAAAAAGTTCCGAACAATTTATGTAATATATTTTTAAATATTTTATTTTAGAAATTGTATAGGTACTATTGTTATGACGATATACAGTCGACGACAATGGAAAGGAAAAAAAAAACGTTTACCCCTTTGTTGTGCAGCCATCGGCATTGCGGTCGCGCATAAATAAATACGACGACCGAAGTTTTCGGATCGCAATTTCAGCCGTATTTCACATGTCTCTGTTCGCACTTTATGTTCACGCGTGCAGTCTTACAGTTGTCTATATCATATATTATTGTTATTATATAGGTACCCTATATAAACATTAAACACACACGAATATTATTATCTTATCGTGATGAAACGTCGCTCATTTCAACGTACGTTTGTTAGCCTCCACAGTTCATGAAGAGATCGATCGCCGCCATCGGCCGTGGGTTGACGATACAGTGGAAATTCATGATGGCCCAAGTAAGACGTGCACTTATATAATGTCGTACGGTATTGTGATCGTACCACGGTATTATCCTGCACGAATCTTGTGTGGCGTGTGGTTAGGGGTGTGTGAGGGGTAAGAGTTATGATTGCATGTTCTCTGTTCACACATAGGTCACCCGTTAAAGTTACTATAAATGGTATTGAGTATAAAGTAATGCAATGACGATTTTCAAAAATAATCTCGATTATTATTTTAAATAATATTAGGTAATGACTAATAACTATAACTATAATATATTGATACAGGGTCATTCAAATAGATTTATCCGATCCCAAGTGCTTATATTATATTATTGTATTTAGTTTTATGTTTGAAGTAATATAATATTATGATACATCAAATAAAACAAAAATATTTCAAATTTATTTAATGGTTACCCATAGATAAATGTGTCTTACCTTGCTCATATGAACAATACGCATCTACAGTCAGAACTCGAATTCATTCCATGCATATCAGCATATCCTTTGTAATTACAGACCCCGCTAAATGCTTATCTTAATAATATGAGTTTTTTGGTTCATGATTATATAGTGGTATCAACATTTAACACAAAAGAAAATGGCGTATGATAAGAGGATGACCCCTAAGTCAGGACAGGTGAACGGAATGAATAGCATAGTTATATACAATTGAGCTGGACGTGCGGTGCACATACTTCTGAGCTTTGAAATACAATTCCTTGAAATTAAAAAAAAAAAGGCGGGTAAGTCATAGATGTCGCTCTGCTCTACAGTAGGTTACAAGTGGGTTACTGTAATGGATGGAATTAAATTTGAATCCAATGATATTATATCATTATATACGAAAAACGATTCTGAGCGAAGACTGTTTAGGATAATAATATTATAGATTATTAAATTTTCAAATCTTAGATTTAAAAAGATAATTTTTTATGAATTTATAGTTTAAAATAATTTGCAAATTTTCGTTATTTTCTTGATTTTTACATAATATGTTGTCAAAGTTCAAACTTTGAATGCTTGTAAAAAAAAATTGTGACTATGAATTTATTTTATWTTTCAACTKCTATWGTTAAAATGTGTTAGAAGCCTTGTAYTAAATTTTVAAGYTTTTCTACCGAACAAATAAATTTTTATCGATATTTATAGAAAAAAAAACTAAAAAAGTTGAAAAATTAAAATCTCAGTAAACAGCTCAAAACAAATCTAAATATTTTGAAAATGTTATCAAATATAGAAAATGTCTATATAAACATTCAGAGAAAATTTCAAGTATCTGCGGTCATTTGTTTTGGACTTTTAGAGTTACGCCAAAATAAGAAAATTACTAAATGTGAAATCCAGTAAAAATCCAATGTTGTAAAAATTTAAATTTCAAATGCTCACACAAATTTAATTTGAATTTCCGGTAGACTTTTTATTTGTGATAAAGATTGACAAACTTGTAAGGAATCTTGTATTAAATTTTGAAATCTTAGATTTAAAAAGAACATTTTTTATGAATTTCTAGCTTAAAATAATTTGTGAATTTTCGTGTTTTTCATTAATTTTTAGTTTGTTTTACTCAATTATTTAGAAAAGTATTAAGAATTTTTTACTTTTGACCCCCCAAAGTACCAACTAGATTCACTTTCTGATCGAACGAGGTACTGAAGTCAAAAATCGAAGCACTTTTACTGCCCCAAAACGTGATCACAGACACAAAAAAAAAACACACACACACACACACACA